ACTTGTTTCAAAGCTTTCACGAGTTTCTTTATATCATAAAAAGTCTAACTGGGTCATGAAGAGAATGTGAGAAACTGAAAGTAATTCACTGCATTGCATTTTGAGAGGTAAAGCTTTGGCTGGTGAGCGTTATTTCATTATAGTCATGAAGCATTAAAGCAACCGCTCACCCCAAAATGAACATTTTTTCACCATTTACTTACCCTTTACTTGTTTCAGTCTTTTCTTTCTTCTCTTAAAGGAACACTACACCTTTTTTTAAAAAAGCTTACTACGCCAGAATGAGAATATAGTTCCTAGCAATATTGACCAAGGAAACTGCAATTTTAATTTTTTTTGTTAGTTTTAGTCTGCTTTATTGTCAATTCAGCCACATGTACAGGACATGGAGAGAATCGAAATTACGTTCAGTAGTTGCCTAACATGCATTGTTAATATAAAAATAGAGCTTTAAGAAAAAGAACATTTACAATATATACAGTCGTACTTAAAATGTGGTCGAAAATGTGGTTTTATAACACAATGTGTTTACAGAAGACTTGAGCTTTAAATAGGAAAAACATCCAATTTTTTGTTTGATTTTTGTATTGATTTATTTTTTACAAAATGCTAATGGTCTAACCCGATTCAATTTATTATGCTAAGCTAAGCTAAAAATTACCCTTTCAGAAAAAGAAATCGGCAGAATGAATTAAAAAATGGTTCAAGTCCACTGTTTAACTCTAGGACTCTTGTATATATATATATATATATATATATATATATATATATATATATATATATATATATATATATATTTATTTTTTTTTTAAAGATGCAGTTTTGCTTTAAACACAACAGAAAGTCTGTAAAAACCTGTAACCATTGACTTGAACTTACATTACTTTTAATAGTATTTACTGTAACGGACTTGCATTTTTCCCTGTAAGCTAATAATTAAAAAACCATGAGAAAGTTACAACATCAGCATTAGTAACAACAACAAAAATATGCATAAAGACAAAATTATTTGCCCTCCTGTGAATTATTTTTTTTCAACTCTGATGTGTAATAGAAGAGGTACATTTACACAGCATATCCCCATAATATATATATATATATATATATATATATATATATATATATATATATATATATATATATATATATATATTTCCATGTGGACAAAGTTTTATTTATGTTAATAAATACATAAATGAATGAGTGGGCAGTACAGTGGCGCAGTGGGTAGCACAATCGCCTCACAGCAAGAAGGTCACTGTTTCGAGCCTCCGCTAGATCAGTTGGCGTTTCTGTGTGGAGTTTGCATGTTCTCCCAGTGTTCGCGTGGGTTTCCTCCAGGTGCTCTGGTTTCCCCCATAAGTCCAAATACATGTGGTATAGGTAAACTGGGTAACCTAAATTGTCCATGGTGTATGTGAATGAGAGTGTATAGGTGTTTCCCATGGGCTGCAGCTAGAAGAGCATACGCTATGTAAAACATATGCAGGCTAAGTTGCCGGTTCATTCCGCTGTTGCAACCCCAGATTAATCAAGGGACTAAGCCGAAAAGAAAATGAATGAAGAAATTTAAAAAAAAACTGAAAGTTTCACTGAAAGAAAAAACTGCTGTGGTCATTATTATTATTATTATGAAATTATTTTTGTTTTCAGATTGGCTGTAGAACAAACCTAGCAAAATATCATGTACTGCCATCATGGCAAATATATGATTAAAAATTAGTAACTAAAACTGTAAATGTGTGTTGGAAAAAAAATTATCTCTGTTAAAAAGCACTTAGGGTGTATATTAGGATATAACATTTGAATAAAGAATTAAAATACCACAGAAGAGCAAGTCATTTTAGTCTGCAACTGCAAACTTTAAAATAACTTGAAAATGTGAGACTTCCGGTGCCATATTCCTTCCAGTTATTTGGCCAAAACTTAATATTACAAACAATTACATCCTTTCATTTTATAGTCAAGATTACAAATACACTGTTTTGTACAGCAAACAGATTTACCACAACACTTTGGTACTTTAATATCGATTAATAAACCGAAAGTGTCGCACATACTAAGAAAATAACTTGATAAACAGGACTCAAAACGCGTTAATTAGCAAGCTAGTGTCCTGAAGACAGCCAAAGAGGTCACTTACCCACAGGTGAGCTTATCCAGGTGTGTCAGTAGATCAGTCAGCTGTGAAGAACTCATAATCTCTTCAGAAGACTCGCGTCATTTAACTAGCAAAACAGCTGCTAACCTGAAGCGCCTGTGGACGTCAAACATTAACAAACCGCCAGTCCGTGAGAAGTTTATTCCAGACACCTGCAGACAACTGAAGCTTTTCTTCACAGCAGTGTTTCTACAAACAAACAATAATAATAAAAAAGCGCTTTTCTAACTAACGTCGTGGCTTTAAGTCACTTTATAGCGCGGTTTAAATCTCCCGCTCATTGGGAATACTCTATTGTGATTGGACGATCAGGTATAATGGCGCAAAAATACAGTGCAGTAAACAGTAAATCTGCACAGCAAACCGTTGCATTATTCAATTCAATTCACTTTTATTTGTAAAGCGCTTTTACAATGATTAAGACAACACATTAAAATGTCGCCAGAAATACCAGTTTTCACAATATACTGTATTACAGTCTTTGTTCTCATAAAATAGCTGGAAGTAACTGTCAAATAAATGTAAATACAAGCAGAAGTTTACATACACTTTATAAAAAGGCACATAACCATTAAAAGAAGTCAGATGTTAATGTGACTGAATGTTTCTCTATTAGGTAAGTCAGGACCATCAAATGTGTTTTGTTCTGCTTAATAGCAGAATAATGAGAGAGATATTGTTTGAGAAATTGTTATAACTTTTCTTGAAAGTCAAGTTTACATACAATAAGATTATTCTGCCTCTGGAAAAGCTCAGATGATGATGTCAAGGTTTTGGACGTTTCTGATTGGCTAATTGACAACATTTGAGTTAATGTGAGGCACAACTGTAGAATAGTGTTGAAGGAAAAGCTCAAACACACTGCTTCCTTGTGTGACAACATGGGGAATCAACAAGCCAGAATCAACAACAAAGCCAGATTACAATCTGCTGAATTACACTGGGAAAAAGACTCATGTTTGGAGGCATGTCCTGTGCTCTGATGGAGCTAAGATTGAACTGTTTGGGCATAATGACCAGTGTTACATTTGGAAGACAAAGGGGAAAGTGCACAAGCCTAGGAGCACCATCCCAACTGTGAAGTATGAGGGCGGCAGCATCGTGTTGTGTTTTGCTGCAGGAGGGACTGGTCCACTCCACAGCATAGATGGCCTCATGAAGAAGAACATTATGGAGAAATACTGAAGCAACATCTTGAGACATCAGCCAGGAAATTACAACTTGGCCACAAATGGCTCTTCCAAACAGACCATGACCCTAAGCACGCTGCCAAATGAGTTCAAATGTGCTTTAAGGGCAACAGAGTGAATGTTTTGGAGTGGCCATCACAAAGCCCTGATCTCAATCCTATAGAAAATGTGTGGGCAGAGTTTGAAAAGCTTGTGCGAGCACGACTCAGATACAGCAATTCTGTCAGGAGGAATGGGCCAAAATTCCTGCAAACTATTGTGAGAAGCTTTTGGAAGGAGACCCAAAACATAAAAGTTATATTAAAGTTACACAGTTTAAAAGCAAAGCTAAAAAATACCAAGGAAATGTGTTAAAACTTTTGACTGTCTAGAAATTAATAAAAAATTCTCTCATTATTCTGGCATTTAGCAAATGTAAATCATTTAGGAAATCTTAACAGACCTAAAATAGTAGAGGTTTAGTATCATTTACCATCAGACATTTATTAAAAATGATTGTTCATTTTTTTTTTTTTTTTTTTTTTTAGAGTTGATGTAAACTTCTGGTTTCAGCTGTATCTAATAAAAACACACAACAGTTAAACATGTTAAAATGATTAAATTTCCTAATACTAATTCTTAATTAACATTCATATCAAAACATTAGTGTTTGGTTCCCATATGGGAACGTTATGGTTGCTAAAAATAATGTAGGGATTTGTTTTTTCTGCTTTTATTATCAGTTTAGCTACTATAAAGTAACTTAATATAACATAATACTTGACAATAACAAAATTCTCCTAATGCTATTAAAAAAGAAGCAAAGGGGGAATAAAAAACCTAATGTTAGGTGCTGCTGATGAGCCCATCTGATCGCGTAAAAATGTGTTTTATTAAATATACTTGCGCTGCATTAAAATGCAACACGTTGGGATTAGAATTGATTTGTTCCCATTAATTAATTATAATTAGATAACATGAACTAACAATGGAAAACACCACAAGAGGATATATTAAGCTTTAGGTAATGTTAATTTCAACATATAAACATTTAAACTGAAAAGTTGTATTATTTAAAGTAGTTAATGAACAAGACTTGAACAGTTTTATGCTTATTAACTGACATTTACAGACCTAAAACACTAAAGTAATACATTTAAATGCTTGTTATTTAATGCCTTCATGTTTACAATAAGGAGTTTATAATAGAATGCTGCCAAAAATGCAAAGAAAAAATATAAATAAATAAATAAATAAATAAATAAATATATATATATATATATATATATATATATAATTTATATATAATATATATATTTATATTATCAATGGTTTTCAAAAAGAGCTTGAATAATACGATTTAAAAGAGGGGAAACATCCTCAGTACAGAATACCAATTAATAAAATGCCATAAAAGAAAACTGGAAATGCAGGCTATGTGGTCTTACAGAATTGATTGCTGCCATCTAGTGGATAGTTGAGCAATATCAGCAATATTAACAGGATATAAATATAACCAGTAAGTTGCATACTGCAATTATTATATCATCATAAAGTCGCAATAAAAACTACCTTTACAATGACTATAGTTTACAGATGGTAAATCATAGTCTTTAAATGTCTTAATAATTAAATGTATACAGTTAGTAATAAAAACAAACACGCTTAAGCCTGTGTAGTGAAACTTGTTTATTAATGTGTATAAAGAGCAATATATAATATTAATTTAATAGCCGTCATATCTAATGCACATACAAAAGCAGATTATTTTACAGTGTAATACTGAACATGTTATTTTTTATAAGCTGTTCTTCACGTTATTGATGAGGTCGGACAAAACAAGCTCTGAAGATTTTTCTGGATTCAAGATCATGTGGAAAAACTCCCTCCAGAGCGGCTCCACAGGACAACTGGGAAAAACAAACAAACTAATTAATTAATTAATATATAAAATAGCACATTAAAGGAACTTTCTTATTAGTTTTTATTTTATTTTATTCTTTATATTTTCATTTTGAAGCTAAATAGAAAGCAAACACACCCAAAAGAAATATGTATACAATTAAATACGTTTAATAACAAAAGAAATCGGCTCATTTTATTGAGTGGACTTGCACAAACATGAACACTTTAGTTTTGGAAATACCTGTACAAAATTATACCCAATGCATTTACTAACATGAACAAACAATAAACACATTTAGAACAATATTTATTCATCTTTTATATGATAAATAAAGTCATCCATTAAAATATCCTCCCTGCCATATGAATATTGCATACTATTATCATGCAAATGATTATTTGTTATATATATTGTGCAGCGCTAGTGTTTATAGAGCATTAATACCCATGCTGAGATGCAGAGTCCTCGTCCAGACGCCAGACTGAATCCACTAGCTTCACTTGCAGAGGAGCGTTGAACAGCAGGCGGTGTGTGATTTCAGCCACGCTGATCAGATCAACCTGACGCAGACAATAATCAACAATTACAACCATTCAATCAATTTTCGGCTGAGTCCCTTTATTAATCAGGGGTTTCCACAGCGGAATGAACCGACAACTTATCCAGCGGATGCCCTTCCAGATGCAACCGCTGGGAAAAGCCGCAATCACAAGGAAACACCCATACACTCATTAACACTCATTCACTACGGCCAATTTAGTTCATCAATCCCCCTATAGCGCATGTGTTTGGACTGTGGGGAAAACCAGAGCACCCGGAGGAAACACACAGCAACATATTCAGTTTCAATTTATATTTATACCGATGTAAAACTGATTTAGATAATGCTGACACCGCACTAATAATGTGAGAGTATGTGATTGGCCAAGGAGAGAAAAGAAGTAAAGACAACTAACCCATATTTAAGTATACAGGTATCCGTTTTCCAGGACTTTTCCAAAACTTTGTGGGCTTTTCTGTTTTTCCAAATCTTTTCCAGGCCTGGAAAATGCCATGTCAAAACTCCATGACTTTTCCAGGTTTATCAATAACAGCACAGCGCAGTATTACTCATACCTGGTAAGGTGATGCTGACGGCGCCAGAAGCCCCTGTTGGATGAACTGCTGTGCTGAAGGAAGATCTTGAGCTTCTGTGACGTCAGTCTGGAGATGAAGATCCACAGAGTCTGAGAAATCCAGAGCTGTGAGTCCACTGCAAATACAGAAACGTCCAGTTAGAAACTAGTGTTGAAACAAGTGTTCATATGGGTTTCATTCATATACATGTAGCAGGGCATGTGCCATCTTTAGGCAGAGTAGTGCATAGGATTAAAGGTGGTCTCAATAATGGTAAAATCTAGCAATGCACCTTATTTTCAACAGCTAAAAAATTATCACCTGAAAAAATATGAGCCGTATAAAGCCATACGGTGTATAAACACAAAATAAAATGGACCACAAAACCAACCTTAAGTGTTAATTTTTTTGTAAAATTGCATTAAATACATCACATTAAATATATAAGCTTTCTATTGGTGTATGGTTTGTTATGATAGTACAATATTCGCCCAATTATATATTATAAAATATATATTATGGCAAAGCAGTGGCGCAGTAGGTAGTGCTGTCACCTCACAGCAAGAAGGTCGCTGGTTTGAACCTCGGCTCAGTTGGTGTTTCTGTGTGGAGTTTGCATGTTCTCCCTGTGTTGGCGTGGGTTTCCTCCGGGTGCTCCGGTTTCTCCCACAGTCCAAACACATGCAGTACAGGTGAATTGGGTTGGCTAAATTGACGTAGTGTGTGTATGTTTCCCAGAGATGGGTTGCGGCTGGAAGGGCATCCACTGCGTAAAAAGTGCTGAATAAGTTGGTGGTTCATTCCGCTGTGGTGACCCTGGATTAATAAAGGGACTAAGTTGACAAAAAAATGAATGAATGATACATATTATGTTGTAGATGTGTAAATCAGTATAAAGTTAAATATATTGTGCGACTGGTTTTGTGCTCCAGGATCACAAATGATGTTTTTTTACTGGCGTGTGTTTTAAAATCGGTTTAATCTTCTCTTAAATCTATCAAGTACATAAAATGAATAAAATGAAATGTTACAATAATACAATAATAAAAAACTGTTTAATTAAAAAATATATATTAAAATAATATAATATATAATAATATAGAAGTTAAATAAAAGATTAAATAAAAAAATTGAAAATAAAAAATGATAAAAAAATATATATAAATATATATATATATATATATATATATATATATATATATATATATATATATATATATTTATATATATATATAAAACAAATGAAATAAATTTAAATGAATAAATTATTTAACAGAATGCATGATTATCACAGGGTCTCCAGCATGATTTTTTGTCTAGTGTCCCCAAATGGGGTGACTTGGGGGCTCAGTGGTTAGCACAGTCGCCTCACAGCAAGAAGGTTGCTGGTTCAAGTCCCGGCTGGGTCAGTTGGCATTTTTGCGTGGGTGTGCATGTTCTATAGGGGAATTGAATAACTAAATTGACCGTAGTGTATGTAAAAACATTTGCTGAAATAGTTGGCAATTCATTCCGCTGTGGTGACCTTTGATGAATAAAGGGACTAAGCTGAAGGAAAATGAATGCATGAGTGAATGTCCCCAAATGTGCAGAATGGGCCTGACCTGTGGTAAAAGTAGAGCGACTCCGGTTTCAGGCCCCCATGCAGCAGCCGGCAGGAATGAAAGCATCTGACCAGCTCCAGCAGCAGAATCACCAGCAGACAAGCATCATGTCTGGCCAAGGGTTCACAGAGCAAATCCTGAAGCAGAAAAAACACACAGACGTGATTAGAGATTGAGGAGGAAAATGAAACAAAAGCGGAACCTCAAGTAGAGCTGAGCGATAAAACAACAAGCTCATACTCGCGATATACCAGCCTGATCTCACGAGAAAACGTAAGTATTTTACGTTTTGCCAGTTTAGTGGCTAATTCGTACGAATTTGTACGAGTTCAGTCGTACAAAATGGTACAATTTTAAAAAGGAGGCGTGGCACCTAACCCCACCCCTAACCCCAACTGTCATTGGGGGATGAGCAAATCGTACTAAATTGTACGAATTAGATTGTACGAATTCATACGAATTAGCCACTAAATGAAAAAGTTACAAATTGTCGTGAGATTGTGTTGGATATACAGCTGAAGTCAGAATTATTTATTTTTCTGTGGTGATTTTTTTTTTTTCATTAAAAAAATTTCCCAAATGATGTTTATCTGATTCAGTATTTTCTCACAGTGTTTCCTCTAAAATTTGTTCTTCTGGAGAAAGGCTTATTTGTTTTATTTCGGCTTGAATAAAAGCAGTTTTTAATTGTTTTAAACACTATTTTAATGTCAATATTATTCGCCCCCTTAAGCTATATTAGTTTTGGATTTTTGGAACAAACTGTTATACAATGACTTGCCTAATTACCCTAACTTTACCCTAATTACCCTAGTGAAGCCTTTAAATGTCACTTTAAGCTGTATAGAAGTGTCTTGAAGAATATCTAGTCTAATATTATTTACTGTCATCATGGCAAAGAGAAAATAAATCAGTTATTAGAGATGAGTTATTAACACTATTATGATCAGAAATAGGTTAAAAGGTTTTATATAAAATATTTTAAATTTAACCGGAGAGCAAATCATTCTGACTTCAGCTGTGTATTGTCATATTGCACAGCTCTGACCTGCAGGGTGTCCCCGTGAGGAATCCTCCACAGAGTAACACTGCCGTTCTCAAACATATGGCAGGATATCTGGACGTCACAGCCCTGTTCATCACAGCAGCCTCGAGATCTGAGCTGAGAAATGATGAAGAAATCCCACGGCACTGAAGACCTGTCAGTCTGGAGGAGAACACACACACACATACAGCCCATCACTGATACATCACTTAATGATTTGAACAAATAATGCATACCTTATTATGTAATATGTACATATGAAATTGAACGTAAAATATACAGGGATGAGAAAATACATAAAAGAGCAAACATACCAAATACAATTATATAGGTGAATTACCGGTTTGTAAACATTCAGGATGCGCACGCAGCGAGGTTACAGAAAAAAACAGGAGCGCTAGCATTTACAGTGAGGGAATGACATCAGATGCGGTACAGAGTTTGTTGTTGTATTAGAGATAAGTTATATTGATTACATATTATATATATTATTTACATAATGCTGTCAGAGTACTATAACAGCTCGTCACCCAGTGGTAAGTACAGTTATTCAGATAAATTAACATTGAAGTGAGCAGCGTTCATCTGACAGGTCTATTTGCGATAGCACCCTCCCAATGGATATTGGATAAGACGAAATGGCCAAGCATCCAGCCCCAAATATACAACTATCTCACTGAAGCTCCAAGTGATTTTACAAGAGAGAAGTTAACCAGTTAAACTCTGCGTGTCCGGTACCGGAGACAAAATGACGTCATCAGGAGAATAACTATAGGTTTAAGAGGTCTGTCTGCATCAATAACACCATATGACCTATTGGGTAAAAGGTTAGAATGTCTATTTTCAGCTGATACACGTCACTTTGATATTTTTTGTACTGTAACGAAGTTATTTACACTTAATGTATAATATACCCATTTCCCAGATTGTTTGAGAAGTGTGAGTGCGCTGAATCGGGCTTAAGCACGGTTCACTTGGCGGGCCCTGGCCCGGTTGGAAGAGGTGGGCCTGATCGCGGTTCACTTGGGCTTTGGTGCGGTACGCTCATGTGTCAGTGCAATACCCGCCAAAGCCCGAAACTGAAAGCGAGACGTGACTTTAAGGGACTGTTTTATATGGATTAATTAATCAATCTTACTGTTCAATGCATAACAAACGACTGAAACGATATAACTAGAGAAATCTCCACTGTGCTGCTGAGTGAGTGAGCGCTTCTCACTGAACAGCCCAGCAGCGATGACGTAAGCGTGCCGATTGTAATGTGAGTGCGGGCCATCAGGGGACACGGGAGGGGGGACAAGCGTGCTTTGGCCCAGTTCGAGGCAACTGTACCTAGTGTGAGTACAGCCTAAATGAACTCTAATTAAAATTTTAGAGTGAACAAACCCTTAAAACAGACCTTCAGCAGGACAGCAGCAGTTCCAGATGAGTACAGGCTGAAGTCCTTCACTGATCCCAGTTTACTACAGTAAAAAAGCTGCTCTCCATCTGCAGAAAACCAGTGTATCAAATCAAATGCATTTATAAATCCACACATTCATCGACACCAGTTTTAAGGACTTTTCAAGCACCGCTTATTTTAAATCAAGGTAATTCATACAGCAGCATATGTAGAGCCATGAAAGTTCTTATTATACATAACATTCAGCCATTTACCTTCAGCGTAGTCTCTATTTCAAAGCAGAATGAACTGCCAACTTATCCAGCATATGTTTTATGCAGTGGATGCTCTTCTAGCAGCAACCAAGTACTGGGAAACACCCATGCACGTTCATACACTATGACCACTTTAGTTGATCACTTCCCCTATAGCGCATGTGTTTGGACTGTGGGGGAAACCGGAGCCTATGTTGGCATGGGTTTCCTCCAGGTGAAGAACATGCAAACTCCACACAGAAATGCCAACTGACCCAGCTGGGGCTCAAACCAGCAAGCTTCTCGCTGTGAGTCAACTGTGCCAACCCACTGAGCCACCGTGCCTCCCTACATAACATTTCCCTTACACTTAATAGTTATGTTAAACATGTCAGAGTAATTTTGTCCAGAAAGAACTTTAATAAGATGTGTTGAATTCAATACTGGTAATATCCAAACGCACTCATAATTATTGATAAAGTATGCATTATTTGTCATTGTTATTGTATTGTAACATTTTTAAATGAATAGCTTCTCCATTTGTTTTGTTGTGTATGTGACCGCAGCACAGTGCAGTTGTTGAAATGACACCATTTGTTGTATTTAATACTTAATTGAAGCACGTTCAAGAAGCTAAGTTTGTTTTTAAGTCATTTCCAGGCCTTGAATACACATGTCTGAGATGTAATTAAATGTAATTAAATTTAAATATGTCTCTGTGTTCAGCTGCTTTGACACAATCTACATAGTAAAAGCTCTATAGAAATAAGCATTGATTGAATTGAATGTGTGCAGGAGTTTTCTGGATACCGAGATGCAGATCATCGCTGGTGTCAGGCAGAAGTCCAGCTTTCCTGTGGAAGTTGGGCAAGGACGTCACATCTGATTGGTCGAAGATCCTGGATCTCACATGCAGACTGCAGACATCCTGCCATTTACTGACTGAGAAAACACAAACACACGTTGAAAATACAACAAGATAACATTATTTATCCTGCTATCAACTTTTTGTACAATATAATATAATAAAATAATATTTGTATTTTATATTAGATTTTAAAAAAATCCCCGCCCATCAGAGACAATCCCTGCCTCATTAGCATAGGACTTTAGTCTTGTTTTTGAATCTGCCACTATGCTGACACACAGTCTTTTGCAGCTCCGCCCTCTTCTGAAAAGAGCTCATTTGAATTTGAAGCGACAGTCACCAAAACACCACAATAAGATCAAAACCTAAAAGGGTCAGCTGCAGAGAGTTAGAAACAATATCTGTGTGCTATTTTGAGCTGAAACTGAAACACACACACACACACACACACACACACACACACACACACACACACACACACACAATTCATTTTACATCCTGTAAAAAAGGGGCAGAATAGGTCACGTTTGAAACTAAGTATTTCTGTGCATCTGAACATTCCTTGAAATATTTGTAATAATGATGGTCAGCAAAACATAGAACACTTTTCTAGTGTTTTTGGAAATTTTAATAATAGAAATTGTGCAGACAAAACACAAAATCCAAAAATGTGTGGTTTTGCATGTGGTCTCCAAGTCTTCGTGAAACTGAAGCTGCTGCAGACCTTTACTTCAGTATGATGATGTATTTCTGACTGAAACTCAATATTGAGCGGGGGTTTTCTTTTAGCCCTGCCTCTCAGCAATCTAATTATTGGAGGGGCGTGGCTAAGAATATTTCAGCCAATCAAAGAACGACTGCCATTTCAGAGCAGAAGGTCAGATTGTGTTTTAAGATTACCAAAACAAACTGTTGTTTTGAGTGTATTAACTAGCGCAGTTGATTTTTCACATAAAGAATAACTAAATATTAAAGGGGTGGTCCAGAAAGTAATTTTAAGGCTTGGTTGTGTTAATAAGATGCAAAGAAATGCGTGCTTTCACTTGAAGGAAATCGCGTTATTTTTTTATATATCTCACTTTGATTATACACAGCTACTCAGCGAACATGAAAAAAAAAACGATCTATTTCCTAGTTCCTTTGAAAGGCCCGCACTCAAGTGACTCTGATTGGTCATCGTCATAATGTGCTGTGATTCCCGGATCGCCTCCACGTCACGCACGTACAAGCACGCGCGTCTTGTGTAAACAGTCAATCAGTCAGTCAGTCAGTCAACACGTGTCTGTAACGAGTGAAAATGGGATGCAGCTCCTTTAAGAGTTTGTGTGACATTGTGTGTGTGTGTGTTTATACTATGAACTATCTGTAACACGAGAAGCGCATGTGCGCGGGACCGATATTTATTTTTCTATTTCTCTCATGGTCGGATTAAGTTATTTTCTGTGGTGACGCTGCTGACAGAATAAAGCACAAGATGTGGGATGAGACCTGTGTGAGCCTTGATTGATTTTTTTTGGTGCTACACTCCAGATGAGAGCATTGCTGTATTTTTATAACTAAATGTGTAACGTCTTTCACGCATATCCGGAATATGCAGGTGTAAGTAACATGAATCATCCACATATCTTTTGCGACTTCATTGTCTGAGATGTAAAAAGCATGGAAAAGCTGCCGATAGTCAAACTGCCGTCTCACACAGAGAGAGACGCACATTCTGTGCGTGTCTGTGTTTACAGCAGTTTGACTGATAAATATGGATTTGTAGCTAAATTGTTGGCGGTGGCGAACATTATTTCCTGTTGTTTACATCTTTGATGCAACATACCGTTAAGGCTAGACACTGTACATGTGATGATCAATTTTAACAAATAAAAACACTTACAGGGCATGGCTCAGAGTTCACAGCGACCTCTTATTTTTTGTAGTCCCCAAAATTCGTTCATTGTAGGCTTTGCTAAGGTAACTCTGTAAAACCAAGGTCTCCCTTTGCATTGAACTTTGAGCATTTGACATTCAGAGATGCTGTTTATGTTCACACAGCTACATTACACATCAACTAAAGTTTAAAATATGATATCATAGTGGACCACCCCTTAAAATATTAAATATAAACCTATAAATATTATTTTTTAATTAATTTAATTAATTTTTTAATTAATTTAATTAATTTTTTAATATCTTTTTTTATTAGTCATTTAGTATCAAAATCACACATGTCCAGTTCGGCAGACAGAGTGAATGATCAGTGATGTAAATTTCCCACCGTTCTCCAGCTCAGTCTCTGGTCTCTCCGCAGATCGGCTGCTCTCTGCATCATTCAAGCGTTTCGTGGGATCCTGACAAAAAGTAGAGCCGCCCCACTCCTGACTGATCTCCAGGATAGGACTACAGTATACACACACAAAACACACATGAGATTTAAGAACAAGGCTTTCCATAACATGTGTTATAATGTACTGAATGAAACATGAAGTATTAGACTAGTTCACACAGAGTCAAAGTCTTGAGCTGAATTAAATGACAAATAAACATAAAAACTCAAACATTTTAGAAAGCGTCTAACAACCAGACACATGTTTACAATGAGAGTACACCACTTTTTTAGGACTTGAAAATAAATGCACATATCATCAGGGCCGGCCCTGTACTTTTGGGTGCGCTAAGCTGAATCATTTTGGGGCCCTACCTTGCTCTAAATAGCGGAGTATTGCCATTGCAAACCAGCCCACAATGATTTTATTGCTTATTAAACACAATCAAAGAAACAGAAAAGTATAGCCTGATTTCTTCTATGTTAGAATGACCTGGATATTTTAAAACAGCACTGTTTATGTCAACTAGCAGCTTCAAAAATGAAGAATTAAACAATCTTTAATAAAGGGACCAGTGACTCCTTCTTTGTGTCCTCATGGAGTGTTTAAAACATATAATAATAATACAGCAAATAGATTAAAGATTCTATAAAGGTTTCTAGGTTGAGTTTTTATTTCTTTTATTTTTTATAAAATCCAAAAGCAAAAACCCTGAATTGAATGAAAATGAACAATAATTAGCCAAATGCATCACTTAATAATAAAATAAACATTTTGAACTCACTAAAAACAACAAAACAGTTAATATTAAAGGTGCAGTAGGTGATTGTCTTCAGAAACATGTGTTGTTGTGCTGGTTGAAAGTCTCTTCACAGTCCAATAGTAATGATTACAGTAAATGATCTAAATGTGTTTATATGTATTTTTATATTCTGGGTAAAGCATAAAACTAAAAAATGTTCATCCAATTAAATATTGTCAGACCGACATCTCCCATAATTCCGATAAGCAGCTTAGACTGTCTGTCAGCAAATGTAGATTCAGGGTGCTTTCACACCTGTGAATCGACTCAGTTGTTCCGAAACAGAGATTAAAATTGTTACATTGTTGCTCTTTGCTCTTGGAGCGGTTCGCTTTCACACTGCAAAGTTTCTAAACGGACCAAAAGAGCTAAAACAAGTCACGTGTGAGTAAACTCTCCTCACATTGGTCAGAGTGTCAGGGTTTATTTTGCAGCGTCCCGCTCAGCTGTCAGGAGAGGTGGTGGTTTGGTGGTGATTGACAGGGTGCGCGCGTGACGTGTCTGAGGAGAGATGCTCAGGGTGCGCGACGATGCCTATTTGAGGACCGGGAGGGAGACGCGAGATTACCGGGAGATCTTCACTCGTTTGCGGGCATCCGGGAGACTCGAGAAACTTCCCGCCCTACTCATAATTCTCTCTTCATATAGCCGTAAGCCTATTACATATCCATAAAACACTGTGATATAATCGCGCTCGGATCGGATCGCTTTCTCACTGCAATCGAACCGCTCCAGGGTTCGTTTCAATCGAGTCGAGACCACCTCATTCAAGCGATCTCGGAGCGATTACTTTGGCGCGGAACAGAGCGCGATTGCCCTGTTCACATATGCCAATCGAACCGCGCTAACTGGGCAAACGAGACACATTCCGAAACAAAAGTGTAGGTGTGAAAGCACCCTCAGACTTCTGCGCATATGCTCACGCAGATCCGCCATTCGTGCGTGCCCGTCTGCATAAGCGGCCGCCTGATCACGAGACAGACCGAGAGAAATCAAATGCTGGATTGAAACTTTTAAAAACCTGAATCAATATTGAATCAATAAGCTTATGTTAGATTGTGTTGTTATGAATGACTTATATGCACAGACGTGTTGTTAAGCCACTGAAATCTCCCGGTGAAAGATTGATGTGATTATTTTCAGTTTCAAAAGGTCCTTTTACAGCATTGATAATGTAGATTTATATTTAGTTCAACAACAAAACATTAGTAAATAGCGCTATTCCACCTAACCTGCTTTACTGAGCTGAAGTTGCTTTTATATTTACATTAGGTCATTTCTGATCAATGAAAGCCTTCTTATACTGTTTACCGCTACTCTGAATATTCGCTCTGAAATAGCATGTAAGTGTGGCTTAGTAATAAATGTAATTCCTGCACTCCGCTGGCTAAATACTAACTAACTGGCGAATGACATGAACTAGTGGGTTGTCTGTCTGCTGTTGTGACGATTTCAGGGGGTGTGGCTTTGAATCACAGTCCCTCCCCGCCCTCAAAAGATAATATGCTAAGCGGTTAGCAATTTGGCAGATCGCCTACAGCACCTTTAATGCAAAGATTGATCCATAAATGATAAAATCAATAAACAAATAATATAAAGTCAATATGAAAAATGTTAATTTAAAAAACATAACAAAATGAGAAGCAATAATCTCTGGGTTAATGTTAATACCCCAAACAAACTTTATTATTCCCTTCCGTCTCCTTCCCTGTTCTTTACATTTGAGTTGCAGGGTCCAGAGCTTATATTTAAACCATAATAAATTAAATTAGGACATCACTTTAATAAACATGTGCTAGGAAAAATATTACCAGTGTGCAAAATATGTCAGTGAAAGACACTTCGGTAATGCATTTCAATAAAATGCATTTTAGACTAAATAAACTGGTCTGTAAAACCAGGACAAAATAAAATATTTCCTATAAGTAGGCAATGATTATTATTTTTGATAAATCTTCTATGAGATTAACATTGTCTATAACATCATCATTAGCACTTAAAGGTGCGTGTGCATGTCTGTCAGCGTGCACGCCTAGATGAGTGACATGTGCACGCGAGACTGTCATTTGCGGCAAAATCAAATGCTGAATTGAAACTTTTTAAAATCCTGAATCAGTATTGGAGTAACTTTTGCACGCTGGAGGAAGGACGATACCACACCATGGCTGAAGTATTTCTGTTAGACAGGTAATGTTCTGTTTTAAAACTATATTAGTCACACAGAGCTGATGTAGAGTGTATTGTGTTGTGAATGGGTTCTATGCACAGACGTGTTGTCTCCCGGTGGAAGCTAGATGTGATTATTTTTAGTTTCATAAGGGAGCTTTTACAGCATCGATGATGTAGATTTACATTCAGTTTAACAACAAAACATCAGTAAATAGCGCTATTCCTGCTTGCTGAGCTGAAGTCACTTTTATATTCACATTGGGTCATTTCTGAAGCAAGATAGCCTGTCCCGCACGACGCCCGTCCAACCACTACATACACTTCTAACTTGCGAATGAACTGGGTTGTCTGCTGTTGTGTTGCGGTGAGCGCGCTCGAGATTTCAAGAGGCGTAACTTTAAAACACTGTCCCTCCCTGCCGTCCAAAGCTAATATGCTATCAGATTAGCATTTTGGCAGATCACCTACTGCACCTTTAAAAGCAATGCTAAAAACATATTTTGGGCTCGTCTCTTCTCGTCATTTTCCCCTCAGTTTTTCTATGCCTGAAGGATAACGTTAGTTTTGCTTAATTTTCGAAGACCAATTTCCAAAATAAATCAGGAATATAAATGGGGCCTGCAATGAAGCAAAGGCCATGGTGGCCGTGTCCGTCCACGGATTCAAGTTCTTATGGTAACCGGTCAGTCTTGCAGGTTACCTTGGAGAAACAAACTCTACCACAAGAAAACAGAATATAAAAAATGAGATGCTGCGAGCTTCCTGTTGATCACATGACCTTCACACGAAAACAATTTCAACTTTAAAAAAAAAATTGTCATTTTTTTTTTTTTTTATTGTCAGTGAAAATGTATAAATATTTAAGTATTAAAGCACTGTTAATAAGGATAATCTGTAATATGCAAATAAAAAATTTTCACCAAGGCAACGGCTCGGGTTGTGGGGCCCCCTAGTGGTAGCAGGGCCTAATCATCACTTAGCTCGCTTATAGGAAGGGCCGGCTATGTATATCATGCACAAAACAATGCAAAACAAAAGTGCAACTATTAAATGCAAACAATGCTTTATTCACAAATCTTTATGTGATATTTGCTGATAAATTTAATTTGCATCTTTAGATGGAAACCCATCTACAGATCAGTCAGACTGAAGTACCTGAGCTTTTTCTCCTCTGGCGTTTCATTAATGTTTGCAGCTTTAGTGCTTTCAGGATCTGCTGGGCTCAGATTCTCCATCAGCCCCGTTTCTGGTGTTTTCTGCCTGTCGACTCCTGCAAACGGACTGGACGCGAGCTGAGCTGCGCGAGCAAATTCACACGTGTCATTTGGACTGCGGCACAGAGTCTTATTCCTGTGACCATTAATGATGGCTTCCTCTGAGCGAGAGATGGAGGCGTCCTGCAAACAAACACAACACCATTATAACCAGTGTTAGGGTAATGCATTACAGGTAACACCAGTTACATAATAATATTACTTAACTTAGATGTAGGTTAGACTGCTCCATTCAGCTGTTTTAGTTTCTGTTGTGTTTGACTATTTGGCGCCATCTATTGTCTGAATAATGCACAAGTTAGTGTATACTCCATAAGCTGTTTTAGTTTCTGTTAGCTTTGTGTTTATGAGTGTTTGGCGCCATCTTGTGTCTGAATAATGCACAGGTTAGTGTATACTCCATCAGCTGTTTTAGTTTCTGTGGTGTTTGACTATTTATCTCCCTCTTGTGTCTGAATAAAGTGCAGGTTAGTGTATACTCCGTCAGCTGTTTTAGTTACTGTCAGCTTTGTGTTTATGAGTGTTTGGCGCCATTTTGTGTCTGAATACAGTGCAGGTTAGTGTATACTCCATCAGCTGTTTTAGTTTCTGTGGTGTTTGACTATTTATCTCCATCTTGTGTCTGAATAAAGTGCAGGTTAGTGTATACTCCGTCAGCTGTTTTAGTTACTGTCAGCTTTGTGTTTATGAGTGTTTGGTGCCATCAAGTGTCTGAATAATGCCCAGGTTAGTGTATACTCCTTCAGCTGTTTTAGTTTCTGTTGTGTTTGACTATTTAGTGCCATCTTGTGTCTGAATAATGCACAGGTTAGTGTATACTCCACCAGCGGTCTTAGATTTAGTCAGATTTGCATTTAATTATTAAATTAATAAACAATTTCGTTTCAGAAAAATGTGTGTGTAATTTTTATGTTTTGTGGCCTGTAGCCATGTAATAAGCAGAGTAAAGTACATCCAGGATTGTTGTTTTCTCAGAATAAAACCTTCAGTCTAATACAACAGCTACAGATAAATCTGATGGGCTTTATTCTCTAATTACGAGCTCTGGGATCTGCTTCATCCCTAACTTTGCATATGTCTAACTGAGATTGAGTCCTGAAGAAACAAAGATCTCACTTTGTCTGTGACCAGCTCTGCTTTAGACTTCGGTGCTTTCAGACTCAATGTGGGCAGCTTTAGAGATTTACGGTTTGTAGAAGAGGACCTGAAAAGGAGAAAAAAAAAAGACACATTTAATAATTTTAATAAAAAGAAATACACAATGGAAGAAAAAAATATTAAGGATAAAAAGAAAAATACAAAGAATGAAAATAAAAATGACAGATGAAGAAATAAAAGAACCACAGAAACAAATAAAATAAATAACACAATAATAAAAGGAAAGAAAACTAAAATTAAAAACTAAAACGCAGAAAGAAGAAATCAAAAGTCAGCTGAGTGTTTTTACGTTTTGCTTGTCTGTGCATTATCCTCAAACATGGTGAAAGGCTTTCCTGTTCCTGTTTTCTGCAGTTTTGCATCACTTCCACCTGGAAACGCAATAATCAATTATGAGCAACTGTGCTTTTTATTACATCCCTGTAAGAACTACAGTGCAATATTAGCACATGACTAATGAAAATAACGTAAAAATGCATGAGAAAATAAATCCAGAACTCACTTTGATTCATATCGTCTTCTCGACTCACTGAAGTGCTACTAAAATCACACACACACACATACACACCCACACGCACATCAATAAAACAAATTAAATGCAAATATCTTAATCCAATCCCTGATTATAGAAAATAGGCATGCAAATGAACAATTATTCAGCTATATATTGCTGTGTGGGAAAAGGCTAAATAAAGTCGCACTCTAAATAAAAGCAACGGCACGCAATAGAAGCAATATTTTCCATAATAAAAGAGCTTTTGTCCTAACCAACACCGGAAATTTATATTTTTGAAACGGCTTCTATTTCTCACAGCTGAACAACAGTAAACTGACAGTGATCAGCTCAGGTACAGCTCATGTGCTTTATTCAGTGTTAAATGCTAATAATGCGAGTCTGAAAGCTGTTTTACATGACATTTATTGCCGTACTACTGAAAGCAGCAGCAGAAAGTTCACCTCAGATCTGGAGAATAAAATAAACCGTCTGAAACTGAACTTTAGAACTGTGACTGAGTGCAAACCAACACACGGATTGGTTTCACGGATTGATTTTAAGACCTTGATTTTAACTTTCAAAGTAGTGCATGGATTGGCACCCAGTTACATCTGCGACCTGGTGACCCTCACCACCCCAGCCCGCAGTCTTCGTTCTGCATCGGGGCTTACTTTGCATCATCCACGGTGTAAACTCAAGACCATGGGTGGGAGGGCTTTTTTACACAGGGCGCCTAAGCTCTGGAATGAACTCCCTATCAGCTTTAGGAATGCTGCCTCTCTGGATTGTTTTAAAAAACTTCTTAAGACTCACCTTTTTAGCATTGCTTTTAATTTAGGATGATTATTTTGTTGAACTTTTTTATCCTATGGTCTATATTTTTATTGTTTTATTGCATCTTTTATTGTTGTGCTGTTTTGCTTGTATTGTTTTAGTATTTTGAGTGTGAGAAAAGCGCATTACAAATAAAATTTATTATTATTACATATCAGTGATTTAGCATCTACATTTAATCATGTTAAAGAGCTTTAATATGCATTCCTTAGATTATAAACCTTACTATTGGAGTGCAGTGAGTGCACTATTCTGTGCTTCTGAATGGCTGTATTTACACTTCTGTCATGCTTCGTCTGGTGCAAACAGCCAAATTGCTCATCACTGCGTATCTTGTCATGTAGCATGTTGTAAGGGCACTGGGTTACAATGTAACCTGCTCACCTAATGTTTAAGTTCAGAATATTTATATTATTTGCTAATTATTAACCTCATGTGGAACTCTGAATCTGAGTCTCATTTTGGAGTCTGCTACTGTCCACCGGAGGTCGCATTTCATTCACGGACGCACACTTTGAGAGCCTTCCTGACTGAATGAAATACTCTGTTTTCCACCAAGGCAACCCAAGGGGCTGGAATATTATTGGCTAAACTGGCATTGGGCGGGTTAAAGAGACTAAAACAGAGACAGCCGTTCCAGCACGTAACGCACATGTTCAAAGCAGAATATCTGACCTCAGCAATGTTTCTCAGATAAACAAGAATGTTCACTGCGCATGTTTCTGAAATACCTGCACACATATGATGTTTTTTATACTCTAAAAGAGTCAAACACTTACATACAGCGCATTTAAGGCATGTAATACATAAATGATTCCCAAAAAAGGTGGGGAAAAGTCAAACGATTTGTTCAGAAACAGATTCAATCAGGGAAATTCAATCTGCTCAAGTTTTGTTTCAACTATTTTAAAAACACAATATTAGTCCCTTTCACACATACAGACACATACAGAGTTGTATGTGTGAACAGGTCCTTTTAGAAAATGCCGGTAAATTCGTTCTGGCTATTTTCCGGAAAGAGAAGTTGTAACATTACCGGTAATTTGCCGGAATGCTGCGCTGTGTGAATGCAGAAGGAAGATTGCCGTAATAAGCGCGTCCACGTCTAAAGCGTGAGACGTCTGCTTTAGCCAATCAGAACAGTCAGACGCATTCACGTGCGCGCGATTTATGAGAATAAAAGCCTTTGAATATTTTCCCAGACGCATTTAGCTGCTAGAAATTAGGCAGATCACGTTTATATGTTCATCTTAATGCGAACTATGTAAATAATCATCGATAAGATGCTTATGATAAGCCGTTGTTTGTTTACCTTCAAGCTTTGCGTGTGCCTGTGAAACAGCCTGTGAGTGCCAGCTCACGCACATATTATGAACATCTCGACATGCGAAAGTGATCCTCCATATGTTTTCATCGAAGTTGTTCACAATACTGATCATCCACAGAGTTTGTGATGTAGTCAAATGTTTACAAACACAAGCGCAGCCGTTTACAGCTCATTTGTGGTTAAGGATGTCAGAATTTACCGGTATTTTGGAATGGATGTGTGAATGCTCTTTTCTGGAAAAATTCCGTAACGTCCTCGCCTGTGTGAACAGCACTTTTTTCAATATACCGGTAAAGTCGTTCTGTAAATTTTCCATATATTTACCGGTATCACTGTGTGAAAAGGGCTATTGTGTCCAAACTTTGAATGAACTGTTGTATAAAATAAATATCCCAATTTAGAAAAAATTTAACTCTCGCATGTGTGATATTACTTTATAAATATATATATATATATATATATATATATATATATATATATATATATGTATAAAAATCAGGATTTAATTTTTTGCTTTCATCAGTTTAAGGCTGCATATTTTGTTTAGTATAATTTTAGTACGTTTGGACTGTGAAAACGTGCGTTTGTTGTTGTTGTTTTCTTTAAGTTAGTGACATTCAATAAGAAATTATGAAATAATAAATTAATAAATGCATTAAAAATGTAACCAATTAACAAAAATGCTTCTTACATTTTGTTTGTCTGTGAATTTTCATCATAAATGGTGAAAGTTTTTGCTGTTTTCTGCAGTTTTGCGTCACTTCCACCTGAAACCAATCATCATATTCATGAGCATCTGTGCTTTTATTTCACCACTGAGCAATATCAGCAGCTTCACTAATCAAAATAATGTGAAAATGCATATTATACAAGTGAATCCCTTGCAGAAACTCACTTTGATTTATTTCGTCCTCTCGACTCACCGAACTGCTACTGAATCACATCAGAAAATAAACAACAATTAATAAAACAAATTAAATAATAAATATATTAATCCAATCCCTGAATATATGCATACACAATAATAATTATTTTAAAAAGTAGTGCTGGTATCTTGCCTGGTTAACGCATGTAAAACAAACATGACACCAAAAACTGCCATTAGGTGGTGAAAAATCTGTTCAACTCAAATTATTTGTTCAAAACAGGTGATTCATTTGAAAATAAAACAAGTGACTGCTGGTGACTCAAATGATTTGTTCAGAAATGAATGGGGAAATTTTCTGCTCAGGCCTTGTTTGGACTATTATCATTGGTAAAACTGAATAAATAAACAAATATAAACTCTGTAAAGTGAGTGACACAATAAACAGTGATGAAAGTAATCACTTTGATTAATATCGTCCTCTAAGCTCACTGGACTGCTACTGATTCACACAAACAACATCAATAAAACAAATAGATATAAATATTTTAAACCAATCCTTGACTACATGCATACACAATTACAGCAAAATGAAAAAACAACAACACTAATTTAAAACAGTGGTGCTGGTATTTTGCCTGATTAAGGCATGTAAAACGTGATAATGGCACCAAAAACTCCCATTAGGTGGTGAAAAACCAGTTTTACTCAAATGATTTGTTCAATACAGGTGATTCATTTGAAAATAAGCAAATCAATGAATCATTTGCCTCAAATTATTCGTTCAGAAACAATGTTGATGCACAAATATTGTGTTTAGGCTTTGTTTGAACTATTATCATTATTGAAACCGAATAAATAAATAAATTATTTAATTTATAAAAAATTTATTAATTAATTGATTAATAAAAAAAATTAAAAATAAATAAGTAAATAATTAAATAAAAAATATTTAAAAAAATTATTATTATAATAATAAATAAATACTTAAATAAATAAATAAAAAAATAAAAAAAATAAATATAAATAATAATAATAATAATAAATAAATAAATAAATAATTAAATAAAAAAAAATAAAAATATAAACCCTGTGAGACAAAAAAATTGATTAACGAATGATAAAGAATGAATGAAAACACTATCAAAAAGAATTAACAAAGAAAATCAGTCTTACATTTTGTTCGTCTGTGTACTCTCATCATAAATGGTGAAAGGTTTTGCTGTTTTCTGCAGTTTTGCATCACTTCCACCTTAAAAACACACAATCAGTCACCATATTCATGAGCATCTCTGCTTTTATTGCCTAATATCAAACAGCAGCAGCTGCACTAATAAAAACAATGTAAAAATGTATATTAAACAAACGAATCACTTGCAGAAACTCACTTTGATTCATATCGTCCTCTCGACTCACTGAACTGCTACTGAATCACACAGAGGAAAAAGCGACATCAATAAAACAAATGAAATATCTTAATCACTGATCTTTGCAAAGCATGCATAAATGAAAACAATAATTAACATTTCTGTGCTGGTCTCTTTCCTGGTTAAGGCGTGCAATACATAAACATGACACCAAATAATCAGTTTTATTCAAATGATTTGTTCAAAACGGGTGATTCATTTGGAAATAAGAGAAGTGGCTGCAGGTATGAATGAATCAATGAATCAATTGACTCAAATGATTTGTTCATAAACCGAATCACCAATCTGCTACTGAATCACAAAAGAGTGAAAAACATCTAAATAAATCAACCTTTTCCACCCTTAATCCAGCTCTTTATTACAGCAAAATATGCATGCACAATATAATGAAAAGTCAACACTATTTTGGAGAGTGTGTTTTGTGCTGATATCATTTCTGATTTTCGATATACAGTTGAACTCAGTTTTACTCGCCCTCCTGAATATTTGTCCCCCAATTTCTGTTTAACGGAGAGCAGAGTTTTTCGACACATCCCTAAACATAATAGTTTTACTAACTCATTTCAACTGTAATCTCGATTTGACATTGCAGAACCTGCTATGTGACTACTGCAGATGCAAACATTGCAATTGCAATGTTGAAACGATATACTGTGCAGCTGTAAAGCAGTGTCTCTGCAGAAATCCTAGTCAAATTTAAGACCTATATCGCAATATCAAAAACACGCGAGAGAAAATGTAAAAGCACAAAATTAGAGGTAAAATAAAGTTATTTAAATTGAACAGTACTAAAGTCAGGTTAAATGCACCATTGAACTACAGAAAAAACAAACATCTTAATGCAGATTTATACTTTCATCTGGCACCGCATCGCACACCTCACGAAACGGATTAAGGCTTTTATACTTGACACGTTTACCGTTGAGATATTTTTTGTTAAATGACAGGGGGCGGTCCAAAAAAAACTAAGTAAAATCAGTCAAATAAAAAGATAATCATTACCACTGAAGATGTTTTTGAGGGCCTCTTTTTTGTTGTTTTAACAAACTTATCCCTCAGGTTTTTCCAAGCAGAAATGTAACTGATAGAAAATAGGTAAAAACTTGATTAGGTATTACAGCCTACTGTACTATTCACTCTTCAAATAAATCCCACGATCAATCTCATTTTATCACTAAAATAAAGTGAACTAGTGTCTGCTGTACAGTGTTTTGTAAAGTACAGTAAAGTACTTCAATTACTCTGTTGTGGTAATACTATGCATTATAAACAAACTACCCAGTGCTTTAGTTTTTTTTTACAATATAGGGTATATTTTTCAACAATTCAACACACTTTACTGTAGTAAAACTACACCGTCTTTCATTTTATCAGTTCACTATTCTGAATACTACAGTATGCTGAAGCATCTGAAGCACGAAAGGAGTCTGACGGAGCGAGAGCAGACCATTCTCACGTGAGCAGCCAGTGTTTTGAGAGCTCGCAAGCAGTTTTGTCCATGAACAAAGGAAACCGGCGCGTGAGCAGAGATTCGCTCTCTCGTATTACAGCGCTCCCGACTTATAAAACTGCGCTTGCGACATTTGTCAGTGAAATAACGGCATACTCTGCCAGCCGAAATCATGTCGCGCGCACTTAAAGCGAACTTCTGAAGCACAGCGATGATGTCACAATCGCTGCACGCACTGAGTTTAATATCAGAAAGCTGATTGGCTATTGCAAGTTGACATTTTTGTAGTTGTAATACCGCAAATTACAATTGGACTAGTGAAATAAAGAACTACAACACCCCAAAAACCTAGCAACAACAACAAAAAGAATTTAAATGAGCATTAGATGTAGCGTTACATGGACATCGCAAAAATAAGACCTGTGCAAAAATATTTAAGACCTAGAATAGCGAATTTAAGACTTTTTAAAGCCATTAATTTCGATTTTTTAATTTTAAGACTTTAACACTTTTTAAGACCCCGCGGGGACCCTGTAAAGTGTAAGACAGATATTGTTTTATAAGATTTGATATGCCTAATAGAATTGTTCAAATTGCACAGCCTCGTGGGTTATTTTCTTGTTGTAATCCTTAGTAGCTCTAATAATAAAGCTTTAAAATGCCTTTTAAACATCAGCTGAAAACCCGCCGAGCTCACAGGTTTGTTTAATGACAAATTATGGTTAAACCATACCTGTCAACCCTCCCCTTTTTCCCAGGATTCTGACGTATTTTACAGTTCTATCCCGCTTTCATGCCCGTAAAGGTATTTCCCCATATTTCTCCTGTATTTTCAGTTTTTCTCTGAACAGTCGAGCCTCCCTATTCGCAACCTATACCGCCGAACCACCAGGGGTCACCCCTTGCTCTTAAACGCGAGTCTGTTCTGTGCTTTCACTTTGTTTAGGAATGAAAACATGAAAACACTTATATATAAATATTAAAAACGGCGCGATTTTTATTTCCTTTAGATTACAGGTGCCGTCTCCCCTCCTATACAATCCTCAAAACAGTCATATAATGGTGCGTGACTGTCAGCTGACGCGCTCCATAGAGATAAACCATAGACTGTAAAATATATGGACGTAGTATCCGTGACGTCACCCATAGGTTTCTAAAGAGCACAAAAGAAGCCACAAGTAGGCGTGGCCAACCGTCGCCATTTTGTTCGCGCGTCATCACACCCACGGCGGGATACCAAACAAGGACAGAGGCGGAGAGTGAGAGGAGCTACAGACACTGCTGACAGTTTGCTTTGACCTGGCTCAGACACACTTCACTTTGGGAGAACGCTTAATACTTCATCACCTGCGACTCGCTTGTGTTCTGACCACATGTGCTTGGCTGTACACTATATCAATAAAGTGTTTAGACTTTTAAAAACACTGCTGAAACACACAGAGCCACTAAACATTGTTCTTATGACGTTTTTCAACAGGAGGAAAACGCAAATTACTTCCAAACACTTCAGATATAGTCTGTGTTAGTCAATGTAACAGTACGTTCACACCAAAAGTGGCGAGAGCGTCCATGGTCGCTCTGGCCGCCCTGGCGACAACGTTGTCTGCCTTCAGCTACATTTGCTACATTGATCTCGTATTTAAAGGAGCCGTTGCAGCATATCAGTTACATTCCTGCATAAGACATGTTTTTAGCGTGAAAATGTTGCGCACTTCTTATCAAATTCATACAACAATGGAAGATCAGGTTGCATGTGGTGTGGCTTTGCTCTATTTATCCAATATGTGTCCATATGTCTGAAATATCCTGAAGCAGCAGTACTGTTTTGTACAATGTTTGTTTTGTAAATTTATATAACATTAATGAACATCAGTAACTTGCCAGTAACTTATTTAATGCATGTTCCTGTAGGAAAACATTGTAAATAATTGGAAATCCGGCGATCGCAATAATCAAACCCTTGGGAACAACTGTGGTCGGAACCAAAGTTCACAGGTCTGTGTTCTCTGAACTGCTATCAAGCGATGGACATCTTTGATTGCATTCTGATTGCATGCCGCCAAACCGCGTCATAGCTCATTACCATAAAGTTGACTTCATTTCAACTCTCCTCGATGCTCACGCCGGCAAAGACGCGCCACGCTGCTCCTCGCCGCCGGCTCTCATTGAAAATGAACGACTTCCAGCTACTTTGATGGTCTCGCCGCTTTCGGTGTGAACGTACGGTAAGACTATTGATGAAATCCAGCATAACACTGTATGATAATGCTTCAGATGACTGATCTAGAGCCTACAGCTCTCAATCTGTCAGCTCTAAATATAAATATAAACGATAAATGATCTTAAATAAAACAAATACATGAATAGAGATGGTGTATAAGTATATAACTTTACTCACATGGGAAACGGAGGCCACGTGAATGGTTTGTGGGCACAATTAAGTGCACTCAGCATGCCATGCCATCTAATAATTGTAGGAAACAAGTCCAAAAGGCAGTCGACTGTGTAAAGCCACATAAAACAACACAGAAATACGATAAATATGCCGAGTTCAGTGGCTAATCTGCAGGAGTCAGCCGAGGTGACGTGACGGCGACCAACGAGACCTAGCTGTCAATCAAGTGGCCACGCCCTTAATTATGCAAACCTAATATTACCTAATATAAAGGAAACGGATGAGTTATAAAAAAATTCATCCCCCTCACAGTTGTCTCACAGGCTGTAAACACCTTTGTTTCTGCTGTAAAGTTGGCCATTCTAACAGTGGGCTCAATTGAAATTTGCTCTATATTGGAGCCAGGAGCGGCCAGGACTAGCGGAATTTCGGATGAATTGTAGTTTTAGTTACTTCCGTATTGGCTTCCTGAGGGAGAGCGGGAGGTTGCTGCTTGAGATAAACAGAAGCTGTTTCCCAAACGGATTCTGTACACGCGATTTGAAGCGGAGAGAAAGTCTGGCTTTTGAGTGCGTGTTTAAACAGACATACACACATAATTAATAATAATAACATATAAAGATGTCGATATTGGTGCGTTTTTTTTTTCAAACACAACTAATTTTGTCTTAAATGAGCATAAAAAGTCAGGAAAGCAGTCGAATGCTTTCATTATAACGTTAGATGTGTGCATTTTTAAAGTGACACTTCTTATTTAATGTAATAAAAAATCTAGGAATCCATTGTTATGGTGGGCATATCCCTTATTTTCACATCCCAATGTTGACAGGTATGGGTTAAACCCTATTTTGCTGAGCAGAAATTCATGTTGGTTTTATTGAAAAACTGACCTGGAAACCGCACATCCTTCTTCCTGCTCACTGTATATCACCAACGGAGCAGATTTCACTGTATCAGCAGCAGATTCACATGAACCTGTAGGTCTCTGGATGGAAGAACTGGCCTCCTGGAGGAAATACAAGTTGTACAAGGCTGTGCTTTAAATCAAAATATTGTCAAATGTGCATATGCAATATACAAAAAAGCAAATGTGCATATTGCAATATACACAAGCCCGATATTACTCATAGGCCTGGACAATTCTGACTGAAAAGCAACTTTTATTCAATAAAAAGTTTTTTTTTTTAATGGAAATAACATAATAGGAAATTTAGACGATGTACAAAAGGCATAATTGTGCAAAAAATATACACTTTTCAGCATTTATTTACATTTATATATTTTCTATTCGGCTTATCCCCTTTATTAATCACGCGCGTCTACTTTAGTGAACAGAACCTGCATAGGCTGTGAGTAACATGTAATAAAGTTATAAATAATATTCAGTTTGTGGCACAGAGTGATGGTTTGAGAGCAGCGCTTAGCAGTGGAAAATGAAACCCAAAGCGTGCACATCATTTAAATGATCATATCGCATTTTAGACTGATGATTGCAACAAGCGTTTAATGTTTTTTCTTTCATAGCGAACAGTGTTGTGCCTGAAAATAAATGTTTACTGGGTCATTATAACTACCCTAGCCAATATAATGTTGAATATAATGTAAGAGGGAATCTGATAATGACAAATGTCTATATAAAAAGGTCTAGTAAAATGTTGTCAATGACAGATTACAAGCATATATCTAAAACATAATAATTCAACATCAGAATTATTATAAGTAGAACAGAATTATTTATAGAAACCAGTAGACCTACACATAATATTATTATTGTCGTTTTACCATTTGTTCGAGAATGAACAATAATAATATTAACATTTATTTCACATCTACAGAATCGTGAGAATATCATGATCTTTATTTTAGGCAAAAAAATTCCCATTTTAGCAAGAATCGTGCAGCTCCATGTTGGCTATTACATTTATTATTTTTTTGTATATCACAGATCCAATATCTAGGGCCAGACGGAATCTGCGGATGTTTTTTGGTATTTCTGCGGAGAATTTTGGTAAAAATCTGCGTATTTCTGCGGAATTATTTTGGGAGTATCCAGCGGAGTATCAAAACTAAAACCTTAATATATGAAATAAAAAGTAATAAATTACTGAATAATTTTAGATTTACACATTTACTCAAGTAAATAAACAGAATTAATAATGGGCAAAAAATCTGCGGAATTCTGCGAAAAATCTGCGGAATTCTGTGCGCACAGATTCCGTGTGGGCCTACCAATATCCGATTTAGCATACTATCATACATTTCATCACCATTGCACAGTCCTAATACACATGCTTTTAAAGCAATAGTTCACCCATATAGTAGTGACTGCAAACCTGTTTTCTTCTGTTGAACTCAATGGACGATATGCTGGAACCCATTGACATCATGAAATACTACAAGTTAATGCTTCTAGTTTAAAATATTTCTCAAAATATCTTTGCGTTCAACAGAAGAAGAGAAAACTCGGGTTTTTCACAAGTCAAGGGTGAGTAAATGATGACAGGTTATATATATTTAACAATAATAATATTAATATTAAGCATTGTTGGCTCAAACGTACTCTTTTGTCTTCAGGAAAGCGCTGCTGTGGAGCCGCCGTGCTGCTTCTCTGGTGAAGTTTTCTCTGTGCCTGCTCGATCTGTAGCTGCAAGTCCTGCTTCATTTTGTTCAGGTGTGAAGCTTTTTCTGCACGATTACAAAGTCATGAAAAAGTCAATGATGGCATAAAAAAGTTTGATCTGATTCTAAACTATAAAAGCAATTAAGTTATATGCAATCAATAAGTCAAATTGTCTTAGTTAAGCTATTCAAGTTTTACTTGATAACTTGATCATTTTATTTTAAAAATATGGACATATCTCAGATGGCTCAGTGGTTAGCACTGTGGCCTCACAAAAAGAAGGTCACAGGTTTGAGTCCCTGCTGGGTCAGTTGGCGTTTCTATGTGGAGTTTGCATGTTCTCCCTATGTTGGTGTGGGTTTCCTCCGGGTGCTCCGGTTTCCCTCACAGTCCAAACTAGGGGTGTCAAAATTAATCAATTCTTCGGTGCATCGCGAATGCAGACGCGGACAATTCGGTATCGGTTCAGTAATAATCATAACCGGTTATTACTGACGTCATTTACCTCGTATGCGCTCTGTCGCGAGGGAGGCGATCGCGAGTATTTACAGCGCTTTAACTACTTAAAACTCATAAACTGTGCACAATTTCACTGTGTGTGTTTGCTGGATCAGTCTTTCACTGACATATACAACAATAGCCCCTATTTCACTGAGATCGAGAGAATGAAAGTAGCCTACTCCATTTCTCTCTCTCTCGCTCTGTCTCTTTCTCACACACACACAGTGGCCCATTTGACCTGCTGGTGTGGCTTTTCTTCTCCTCTCGGCTGTTTCACAGCGTTACTTAAGGATAAAGAAACGAGCGCGTGTCTGCAGAGTTTTCTCCACCGTGTCTGTCATGCATCAGCTGTGAGATCGCCGCCTGCCGCTTATCAGTGTCACTTATCTGAAGAGCGCAGCGCGCAAGAGCCAATCGCAACCGTTTTTGTTGAGGGTGTGACCAATCAAAGAGGTGTAAGAGAACTAGACAAGAATCAGAAATTGAGCTGGATATTTATATTTGTTTATATTATTTGCTTAATGCTCGTTTTGTTTAAAGTTACAGTTTATATCTCTGACTGTTTGTATTAAATGACAAAATTGTATCACAAATAGTATATTATAAATATATTTAATATAAATAAATATAAATATATTCATACATTTTAATACAAGAATTGCTGCTGTGAAGAAAATATAAAACTGTGTATGGAAAGCACCGTGATGCACCGAAAAATCGAATTGAATCGAAGGCATGATAATCGTAACCGAACTGTGAGACTAGTGTTGGTTCACAGCTCTAGTCCAAACACATGCGCTATAGGGGAATTGATGAACTAAATTGGCTATAGTGTATGTAAGAATGAGTGTGTAAGGGTGTTTCCCAGTACTGGGTTGCAGCTGGATGGGCATCCGCTAGATAAAACATGCTGAATAAGTTGACGGTTCATTCCACTGTGGCGACCCCTGATGAATAAAGAGACTAAGCGAAAAAAAAATTGAATGAACGAATCAGGTAATTTTAACAAAACCATGATGATATTGATAATCCCAATAATTTTGATCGTGATAATCTTTAATATAATTTTTTTATGACAACTGTTACGAGTATTGTAGTGTAGTCTAGGCTTGTGTGTGGTGTTTCGCTCTCGCTCTCTCTCTCTTTCTCGCTCTAAGTATTCGCAGGTGCAGCGGATTACGTTGGGACGGATCATGATTGGCGGCTATATAAACCTGCAGAGAACATGGGTTCGATGGCTCCCCGCTCTCTCTCGATTTCCCCGCCTGTATTCAGTGGAGAAAGTGATCCAATGAGTGTTTGCTAGTATCTCTTTGTGGCTTTGTGAGATGCCGTTGTGATAATTTTTAACCGGCGATTGAAGTCCGATTTTCTGTCTTCCTGTTGGGCTTGGAGCATGGTAGGGAGGTTTGGTGCCTTTTATTTGTTATTTTCGTTTTCTCCTGTGTTTGTTAGTAGGGAGGTAAGTTTTCTGTATTTTATTTTATTATTTGTTTTCTAGGGAAGTTTAATCTAATTTAGTTAGCTTGGTTTATTGTCATTTATTTTGGCTGAACCCCTCCTGATGTTATTTTTGCTCCTCATTTCTGTAAATAAATCATATTTTGTTGTTAATTCTCAGTGGTTGTGTTTTTGGTATATATTTGGTGGAGAGAGAGCGTGGGGGCACCAGGGATTAGATTTTTTATCCCTGTTATTTTTTTACGTTTTGGTTAAATCTCTTTTTGATTAAGGATTTTTAATTTAATTCGTAACACAACATAACGAGAGGAGAGTTCAAATTAAACACTCAATAATGGTGTGGGTTTCCGCCAGGTGCTCTGATTTCCCCCACAGCCATGATAATCCTTACGGTATTTAACATTTCACTCACTTAATATTTAGAGTAAAATGTCAGAGTCGTGATATATTGATATATTCATGCATTGCTCAGGTGTGAGTTCCTCAGACTTCAACAGAGTGTCTAAATCTTGATTCTTCTGTGGGTCTCATCTATCAAATCTGAGCTTTATTTTGTATTTTCTATTGGATTGGAGGAAGCCTTTAAAAAAAAAAAAAAAAGACATAATTTCTTATCCCGTTTCATGTGTCTAGTTTGTATCTTGATTAAAGATTTTTTTAGATATTTGGATTGAAAACAGGACACAACTACTAAGTCAGTTTTTTTCATTTAATTATTATATTTATAACAGCTCAGGGATGTTTTGAGGCCAACGTGTTTGTGCACTTTCTAAAGAAATCCTAAAAAAATAAACAAAAAATTTTAACAGAACATTTAAGGTAACAAGAACTAAAAAAAAGGATTGTGTTTAAAGTTTATTTAAACGCAGAGGCACAGGACACCCAACAGGCCACATCCTCACCAGATCTTTTTTGTCAGACACCCACATAAAAATACACTATAGTAATTTATAGTAAATGTAACAGACATTACGAAGAGTTATCTTACATTTCTTTATGTTTAAGGATCACTTTACCTCTATTGTTTGTGGGGGACTTTTATTTTGACAAGAAATCCATTTTTCAGAGCAAAAAAGAAATGATGAGAAAAAAGTATACAGTAGATAGCAGACATTTCATAATGGTTTAACAGAGCTTGCACTAAAAAGGGCGGTTTCTAAGTTTATTCAGTAACTCCCCTGAAAAGGCTTAAGGTTTGTGTGATTGTATGCTGTTAGTTAGAAATACATATTTTGTGAAAATATCGAAGAATGTTGATGTATATCTTTGTATTGGTTTGCTCAGCTCTTATGGTGATTTCAGAAGAAAAGGAATGTTAATAAAGATTCTTGAAACATCAGTAAAGCTTCAGCCACTCACAAGGGGGCTTCAGCGTCAACGCTTGACTGAAGGCGTGTCTGAAGTCGGGGCTGAAGCGATCGTCATAGAAGCATCAGCCAATGAAATTCGGTCAGCAATAGGCCACTGTCTAGCTGGTGTATTTGCATACAGCGATCTGATTGGCTGACGCTTCTGTCGGCGCTTAAAATTAAGCAAGTCTCAACTTCTGCAGTGAGCAATGCCTCTAAAGCAGCGCCGACGGATACACAATGCAGTTCGGCAACGCCTGACGTTATCCATTCAAAGTGAATTGGAAGCGTTGACGCCCCGTGTAAATAAAGCGTCAACCGGATGGGGTCTGCTACAGTAAACACTATAGAGTTTTTAACCATACTGATACCTTCAGAAGAGATTGGATGATGAAAGAGGCTGTGCAATCAGTGCAATGTTGCTGACACTGGTTTTTATGTACATGTGATATATATTGCATCACCAAAAATTATTGAGGTCATGCGTTGTGCGATTAGTCCATATATTGATTATTGTTACAGGCCCAGTCACATTCAAAAAATATTTGGTTTCAGTACTGGTAATATTAATAGTCTGAAACCATAAGACCAATAGTCAGTACATTTTTTTTTATAACACCATAAACTAATGTAATTACAATTTTAATTCAAGCACTTTCAAGAACCTGTTTGTTTTTAAGTACTTTCCAGGCCTTGATTTTGTATGTCTGAAATTCAAGTATTTTCAAGAAGTGTTCAAGATTACATTTATTTGTTCAAGATTACATTTATTTGTTCAAGATTACATTTATTTGTTCAAGATTACATTTATTTGTTCAAGGTGCCCGGGTCATATTCAACATTTTCAACTGTTTAGTCAACAGGAGGGTGATCACTCCAGATATGGATGTACCTCTCATAGCCTTGTAGTAGCGCTGCGCACGGAGCTCCTCGATGCTGAACTCTACGTCTCCTTGGTAAATCTGATCTTTATTGTACATGATCTCCAGGTTATCCTCCCTTTGACCCCTGAGCCCTTCTTGAGTCTGGCTTTTCTGGAACGGGGCCACAGCCTCCACCTGGATGCCCAGAGCACTTTGGACACAAACAAACACTTCTGAATATATTAGGCATGGGCTGGTATTAGATCCTGAAGGTATGATAACCTTCCCTGAAAAACTGATGTCTGCAAAATTGTTGCAAACATTTTATATGCGCAAAACAAATGATTCAAAGATGATTCCTTGGATTTACCCAACTTTAAGTTAAGTAGTTTTAAACAATTTATTTGGGTTGAAATTAACTAAACAAATTAAGTTGAACAATACTAAATTTAATTTGATTGTTTCAATTCAACCCATATAAATTGTTTGGAACGATTTTGAAGAGAATTTTTTTCAGTGTGTGTTGAATTTAAACAAATTAAATGTAGTAATTTTCAACTTAATTTCGTTCATTCATTCATTTTCTTGTGGGCTTAGTCCCTTTATTAATCCGGGGTCGCCACAGCGGAATAAACCGCAAACTTATCCAGCAAGTTTTTACGCAGCGGATGCCCTTCCAGCCGCAACCCATCTCTGGGAAACATCCACACACACTCATACACTACGGACAATTTAGGCTACAGAATTCACCTGTACCGCATGTGTTTGGACTGTGGGGGAAACCCACGCGAATGCAGGGAGAACATGCAAACTCCACAAAGAAACACCAGCTGAGCCGAGGCTCGAACCAGCGATCTTCTTGCTGTGAGACGACAGCACTACCTACTGCGCCACTGCTTTGCCAATTTTCAACTTAATTTTTTGTTCAAATTCAATCCAAATAAATTGTTTACAACCACTTAACCTTAAATTTAATATATCCAAGGATCACCTTGAAATATTTTTTGTTCAGTGATGGATAAAAATATTGCGGTTTCACCATATCATGATTATTGATAAAAAAAATATGTTCTTTTTAAATGTCTGGGTAATAAAACAACTATATTCCACACTGAACAAAAGTCAATGATTAATTTGAATTATTTAGCTTGACATATTTTGGAGCAGTAAACGTGTCAGGATAAATAACTAAAATAAATGATTGGCTGCTGCTCTTTCTTCATTAGTTTCAAAAACAGATATCTGTACAATTTGAAAAGGCGTCTTTGGAGAGCTTTCTCTTCTGTGGATGTAAAGTAAAGCCACTGCACTGCTTAGCTCTACAGCACGCTGGATGTTGGTGCATAAATGATTTGTTTTTCAGACGTTTGCTGAATCAGGGGCTGACCAGTAGATTTTGATGAGGAGGGACAGTATAACAGAACATTTTCCAAACAGCGGTAAACCTTGAAACCGGTTATCCTTACATACCTACACACTAATGTCAAGATTACTGCTTTCAAGGTAAATCATGGTACATTTTCTGATTGTTAACATTCATTCATTTTCCTTTGGCTCAGTCTCTTATTATCAGAGGTTGCCACAGCGGAATGAACCATCAACTACTTTGCCATATTTTTTACACAACGGATGCCCTTCCAGCTGCAACCCATCACTGGGAAACACACATACACTCATTTATTCACACACACTCATACACTACTGTCAATTTAGTTAATCAATTTCCCTATAGCGCTTGTTGGTTGGACTGTGGGGGAAACCGGAGCACCTGGAGGAAACCCACACCAACACGGTGTGAACTTGCAAACTCCACAGAAACGCCGACTGACTCAGCCAGGACTCGAATCAGCAACCTTCTTGCTGTGAGGCCACAGTGCTAACCACCGTACCACTCCTTGGTCAGCATTACCTTTTTAAAATATAATTATCATTAAAAGCGTGATTATCACGATTATATAAACTCCTGTAGCATTGCATTTCTCTTATCCAGGGTAAATACAGGAATCATGGCAGTAAATTCAAAACATATTAAGATCTGTTTAAGCCTCTTTCCATATTTTTACACAAGAGATTTATTTTTTAATCTGACTGAAAGGTTTATAAGAAAGAGAAATAAGAAACAATAAGAATAGTAAAAAAAAATAAAAAATTAAATCTTTACTTTAGACTCCTATTTAATACAAATATAGACATTAAAGACACCAGCGACGTACTGATGTTAATTTCTTATGGACGATGCAATTTTTTTTCTAGCAAATTAGCTTATTCGAAAAGCAATTTTGGATTTGTCCAATTTGTTTAAGAATTTTAGATACAAAAATTGTATTAAATTAAATTAAATATGAACATGTGACTGGGCAGCAGGGTGGCTCAGAGGGTAGCACAACTGCATCACAGCAAGAATGTTGCTGGTTCGAGTCTGGCTGGGTCAGTTGGCCAGTGGTCAGTGTGTGGAGTTTGCATGTTCTCCCCGCGTTGGCGTGGGTTTCCTTAGGGTGCTCCGGTTCACCCCACAGTGCAAACACATGCACTATAGGGGAATTTGATAGGCTAAATTGTCTGTAGTGCATGTGTGTATGAGTGTGAATGGATGTTTCCCAGTGAAGGGCATCCGCTGCGTAAAACATATGTTGGATAAGTTGGCGGTTCATTCCACTGTGCCGACCGCTGATGAATAAAGGGACTAAGCCAAAGGAAAATGAATGAATGAATGAGGTCATTTTGACAAAAACATGATGATATTGATGACCGCAATAATTTTGGTCACGATATTTTTTTTTATGACTGCATATGTGGAGATTTAAAATAAAACACTCAATAATATTCATGACTTTAGACCATGTTAAGACTTCAGCCTAGAGGGCATCAAATCGTTTCATTAAAGTGGTCCTAAAACTATACAAAAACAACTGAGGTAAAGTTTGTTTTATATAACTTGAGACATGCTCCCTATATTGTTTACCATGGTGCTTCGAATATTTGGTCTGAAATCGCATGCAAGTATGACTTCAAAACAACATTAGCACTATTTAATTTTTTTTAACAAGTGTTTTTTTAAGTTTTACATTTTTCAATAATTACCAAACAACACAACAATAATAAAATATGCAAAGGATAAGCATAATAATACAAATAAAATAATAAACGTCCAAATTGAGGTGGGTCAGGAAGCCTTCAGCAGAATTACACCGGTCACATGTAGGGGAAATGGTAGGAAAAATTCTGTGTAATTTAGATTTTGAGTAGCGCAGTATATGCATTACTTTAAATTGAATTAACTGATGTCTGGAATTAATAGAACAATACTGAATTCTACTGAGGCTTTCCTCCCATGTATCAGAGTCAATCTGTATACCCAATTCCTCTTCCCAAGCATTCTTCAAATGAATAGTACAGTAGCTCAGTTCTCGAGAAAACACACATACAAAACCTCAAATTAAATGTTTGGAATCAGGTGAGCCCGATAGTAGCCTGTAAACCTTTCTTTAATCTGGCAGCAATTCAATATTGGGTAATGCATGACTTACATAATTTCCAATCTGTAAATGTTGAAAGAAGTGTGTTGCGGGGAGAGAAACCGTCTCTTTTAGTTGAGAAAATGAGGCAAAATGTATTAACATACAAGTCCTCCAGGGTAACTATACCTTGGGGGGGGGGCTGATGCATGATTACGATATTTAGCACTATTTAATTGACTGTGAAATATGCTGTACTTATAGTCATTGGCAGCTAATGTTTTTACCATTTTAGAATTTGCAAAGAATATTTTTGTGAAATAATATTATTAAGGAGAAAGTCTGAATGTATGAATATAAAACCAACTTTACCCCATTTTATAAACACCTATTCTTGTCTTTTTTAAATTTACTTCAAATGTTCACTATCTATCTATCTATCTATCTATCTATCTATCTATCTATCTATCTATCTATCTATCTATCTATCTATCTATCTATCTATCTATCTATCTACACAAACATACATAACACAAACACATATTACATAAACAATCTTAATTACATTGTTTTGCTTAACGGCGTATTGGTTGGGTGTTTTCAGAACAAAATATTAGACAGGACACATATTTTGTACGGAAAAAAACCTAAACAAAATAAAAGCTGTATTATTTATTTAAATTATTTTGGGTTAGTCCAGTTTAAAAAATATACTAAATGCTTTAAACTAGCTGATCTTCCTTATAAAGTACCTCAAACCAGTGTCATTTTAATAATAACTTGACAACGTACCTGACAAGACGTTAACTTAAAGCAACATGATCATTTATTTCAGAAGCTTTAGTATTTATTTCTTACCTCCAAGTGTGTGAAGACAGTTCATCCATCTTCAGGCCCTGAGATTTTTCAAGTCTTACAGCCATCCTGAGCGAAGGTTTCTGCCATTTAATTAATTCAACAAACAATGAATGTTAGTTGTGCTCACTGATCTTTATAGAACACAGGGTTTAGATCAGTGGTTGTAATGCCAATGCTTGAATAGCAAGCGTTAATATTTATTTACTGTCAGTCTACAGCATTGAGGTAAAGTTGGTTTCATACTTGCACATTCGTTCAGTGATAGTTCCACACATTGTTTACCATAGTACTTTGCATATTCGGTCTGAAATCACATGCAAGTATGACTTGAAAACATTAGCACAATTTAATGGACTGTGAACACTGTTGTACTTTGATGGTTGTTGGCTGCTAATATGATTCACCATATAGAATGTGTAATTAATAACGTTACTCTTCTGACATTATATTATTCATGAAAAAGACTGAATGTGCGAATATAAAATTAACTTTACCTCAATGTCTACAGCTGTCTGCTACAGCTAACGCTAATATAAAAACACTTTCAAGTAATCCAAACATTATATTTGCCGCTCATGTACACTTAAAAGTCGTTAATGATGACAACGACACCTCATCATAACATATTCTTGCTAACTGTTAACTTCACAAAAGCAACGCATGCTATCTGTAATGCTAATTCAAGCGTTAATACTCATTCACAGCCGTCCGCTACAGCTAACGCTAATATAAAACACTTTTAAATAATCAAAACGCTATATATGCCACTCGCATACATTTACAAATTGTTGAAATGGCAAATGTACCTCATTAAATATTCTTGCTAGCTTCAACAAAGCGCTGACAGCGGTGGTGTTGTTGTTGAGTGACTCGAGGTTTAATTTCAAATCGTATCACGTGACTGTGTCGTACGAACTGACGCGCTTCGGGGGCGTCGCACAAACAGCGCACGCAATACGTTGATACGTCACAGTACGTTAGCTTGCCAATTTTACTTTATTTTTGATCGTTTTCGGTAAAATATTTCATGAAGAAGAACTTAAGTACAATTATGTAGGACTGGGATTGATAAAAGAATAACAGCGAGTTCGGAAGCGGTTTAAACCAACGTGAAATAAAATGGTAAGTTATGGCTAGGTTTTTTTAATGTTAATTCAGATTTTTTATTTGACCATTTCTGTGATTAAGCAAGAACAACGGCTTTATATTTGTTTCTTCCTTGCTCATACTGTTGGTTAGCTCTTTAAATATGACTAATATGATATATTACTACATTTATTGAAGAATTTCTATACAAAACATTTCTGTATCATAGCTCTGTATCAATATGGTAATGTAATGTTATCAAAGTTAAACGTATCGGTAAAAAATATTGTTACACTTTAAAGGTTGTTAGTTAATGTTAGTGAATGTTACTTATATGAACTATGAAGATTCATTCATTTATTCATTCATTTTTCTTCGGCTTATTCTCTTATTCATCAGGGATCACCACAGCTGAATGCACCGCCAACTATTTTGTTTTACACAGCGGATGCCCTTCCAGCTGCAACCCATTACTGGGAAACACCCATACACTCTCACATTCACACACTCACTCATACACTACAGTAAATTTACATCATCCAATTCCCCTATTCACCTTATTCTCCGCCGACGAGCGGGCGCAGCTATTTAAAACTTTTTGGCTCGAGACTTCCGGTCTCATTCACTTCCATTCATTTTTTGAAGTTAAAAACTGCTCGTTACGCTGCTTGATATTGCAATTTGATATTTTCTTATTATATTATTCTACTTGGTCTGTTTAGTCATGCAAACATTTGTTTGTAGAGCAAGTAGTTTGACCATTTTCTGCCGTTCATTATTCCTAGTCATTTCTCCCATAGGTGACTGAATCGTAAGTTCTAAGACAATCGCGAAAACAGGCGCACTTCCACATTTTAGAATAAGGTCAATAGCGCAAGTGTTTGGACTAAGGGGGAAACCAGAGAACCCAGAGGAATGGGGAGAACATGCAAACTCCACACAGAAAGGCCAACTGACCCAGCCAGGACTCGAACCAGTGACTGTCTTGCTGTGAGGCGACAGTGCTAACCACTGAGCCACCGTGCTGCCCAACAATGAAGATTATTACAATGATTCTCTTTGTTACTCATTTTCTTTTCAGCTTAGTCCCTTTATTAATCTGGGGTCACCACTGCGGAATGAACCGCCTCTTTGTTAAAGTTAGTTAATAAAAATAAGTTGTTCATTGTAAGTACAGCACATTAACTAAAGTTAACAAACATGAATTTTGATTTTAAAATTAATTTAGTAATTGTTGAACTATGATAGTGACGCGGTGGCGCAGTGGGTAGAACTGTCACCTCACAGCAAGAAGATCGCTGGTTCGAGCCTCAGCTGGGTCAGTTGGTATTTCTGTGTGGAGTTTGCATGTTCTCCCTGTGTTAGTGGGGGTTTCGTCCGGGTGCTCTGGTTTACCTCACAAGTCCAAAGATTTGTGGTACAGTAGAATTGTGTAAGCCAGTGGTGTCCAAACTTGGTCCTGGAGGGCCGGTGTCCTGGAGAGTTTAGTTCCAACCCTAATCGAACACACCTGAACAAGCTAGTAAAACTCTTAGTTGATGTACTAGAAACTTCCTGCAGGTGTTTTAAAGCAAGTTGGAGCTAAACTCAGCAAGACACCGGTTTATACATGCCAGATGTAGGCTAAATTGGCTGTAGTGTGTGTGTGTGTGTGTGTGTGTGTGTGAATGAGAGTGTATGGATGTTTCCCAGTGATGGGTTGCAGCTGAAAGGGCATCCAATGCATGAAACATATGCTGGATAGGTTGGTGGTTCATTCCGCTGTGGCGACCCCAGATTAATAAAGGGACTAAGCTGAAAAGAAAATGAATGGTGATGGTCACAATAAAAGTCTGCCGAAAAATGCATCCCTCATTCACCACTATAAGCATTAATCTGTTTTGGTAATCTTTACAGGGCACCTAGGTTACCCCTTTTTTCAGATTTAATACAAGTCTTTTGCGTCTCTAGAATGTTTATATAAAGTTTCAGATCAAAATACCCATCAGATTTTTCATTATACCTTTTTCAAGATGCTATTTTATACTGATTTCCAGCAGGGGGTGGTTTTGTCGTACTGCACCTTTAAGACGAGTTTTTCCCGCCTACTGTTTCTACATGCCTCCTCCCTCAGCTGCGTCAGACAACAGACAGACTTAAAGGAAGAAGGTCTCACGTAGCGTTTGTGAGATACTACAGTAAGAACTAACCTTTACTAGTCAGTATTGTGAAGTTGCATTGATGAGTTACACACAATATCGTTACAAAGTTAACGCGTGCACGCGCGTACACACACACTCACACACACAGATACAGCTAACCTCAAGTACTGTGTGGATATCTGTTATGCTAATGTACAAAATAAACCTGATTTAACTTCCACAAACCGGGATTGAAGCGTCTTCTTTTATAATTGTTCTGACACGCGGCTGTGCTGATGAAGTAAAGCTGAAGTAAAACGCTGTAATTAATTACACACATACTCTGTTTTAAAACACTTTAAACATGTGAAACTTACTCTTAATCACATTTGATGATGATTGCTGATCCTAGCGAACAGAACAGAGCTTTTATTCCCGGTTGCTTTGCGTATGTCTGTCTGGTCTTGTTGACATATACACGCGACTACCGGAACATGTTAATGCGCGCAGCTGTCAATCAATTCGGTGGGCGGGGGGATCGCACACCTACGTAATGGTGCGATCGATTTGAAAACAGCTCCAATTGGCCGACCCTTTTTTTGTAGTTAAATTGAAAAAAAAGGACTGGGTGTTTTCATATCACCCCAGTATGACGGTCTATACACTATACCAACACACAGATCTGTCCAAACAGCTTGACCATAGGTGCTTGCTTTTACCATAGGTGCCCTTTAAATCTGCCTATACGCTTCTGGAAGGGCAGTGGAGGAGAAATGACTACGGCCAATTTGGTTTACCCGATTCACCTGTACTGCATGTCTTTGGACTGTGGGGGGAATCGGAGCACCCGGAGAAAACCAATGCGAACACGGGGAGAACATGCAAACTCCACACAGAAACGCCAACTGACCCAGCTGAGGCTCGAACCAGCAACCTACTTGCTAGGAGGCGATTGTGCTTCCTATTGCGCCACCGTGACACCCCCAAAAGTAATTTCTTTATATTTTTATTATATACATTTATATCAGGGCTCGAAATTGCGACCATTTTGGTCGCATATGCGCCCGAAAATTAATCTATGCGACCTCATAATATATATGGGAGCATTAGTGCGACTGCAGATAATGGTTGTAGTGCGACCTGTTTTGAATTTTTCTAAAAACGTGCTGAATCGCTCTTCCCTGCCGCTATATTGGTTTATATAAGCCATCAATCACGCAAGGTATTCCGCTGTCAGATGACAGGGAAGGAGCACGGGAAGAGGCAAACGGCTGAAGAGTGAAAACTTAAAGCATGCAGGTTTGCAAACCCCACCTAAAGTTGAGGCGCAGATGAGAGTGATCATGACGTGGTGAATAATGATCCGCCAGCTGAGATCAATCGAGTACGTTTTCGGAGAAAGCGCTCGAATCTCGATGCGTTGCATTCAGCGCAAATGTCCGCTAAAAGTCAATACTGTACATATCATCGCCAAAAAAGCTCGCATTTACTAAGTTTACACTGAAACTGCGGCTCATAACAAACAGCGGTATTGCGCCGGTGGTCAGCGCAAGAATCCTGCTCTGCCTGCTCATAAATTGGGTCGGCTGACTCGCCTGCTTTCCACTAACACAGAAAAATGAAGATCATCTCAGACTGAACCTTTAAATTGACACAAAATGAAACCAAAACTTTTAAAGAGTGATAGAAGTGAGACTTTACTTACTTTCTTTTGTCTTTTCTTTCTTGAGATGTATATATTTATTTATTTAGATACTGATTTTGCAGCTTTCATCCTTAAATTTAATTATTTATTATAATCTTTTGTTTATTTTGTAGCAGAAATATTATTTATTAAACTGACATGCATATAAAAACAGCAGTACAAAATAAATATTTCTTACTGCAATGCTTAATTTTTGTTTGATGCAAACTATACAATTGTTTTTCATAAAGTAACAGACTTTTTATAGCAGAAAACTTGCATTCAAGCACATTCAAGGCAGCATGATAATGACAAATGTAAATCATTGTTACTATTATTGTCATTTTCCTCATCATTAACATTTTATATTTATTCGACATTCATTTTGGAATTATTGCACACAAATATCAATGTCATTACAGCATTAGTTATATAGTTGTTTCTGGTTTTTGTTAGTCCTAATTGATGTTGTTTTAAAATACAATAAATCCCTTAAAATACAATTTGCAGCGGTGCTTAATCATTTTTGTTGGGTGCTCCTAAACTTTTTCTGGTGCTCCTAAATTTTTTCTGGTGCTCCTAAATTTTTGAAGTTGGGAGCACCGGTGCTACCAAGTAAAAAAGTTAATTTCGAGCCCTGTATATGGATAAAAAACACACATCTCAAAATAAAAAATTGTATAGCTTGCTGTAGAATATGTCTTGGAGAAGTATAACAATAAGAAGAGCCATGTTTATAAGTAGAGTATATCCATTTATTGTCATTAGAGATTGAACTTGACAAGAAATATTTCAGGGAATTTTAATAATACTTTCATACACAACAGAAAAGCTACATACATTTTTAAAAACGAAGTGGATCTGTGAGCTGAGCTGAGCACATGTTAAACTTCAACGATTAGCTGACATCATTACTTTGATGAATTCTTAAAATATCAATAATAATCGTCGATTATTTTAATGGGAATTGATCTTAATTCACTCTCATACTCCACAAGCACTGATGGAGCTGTGAAATTGAAA